TGCAGCATGTGCAGGGTTTCTGAGTGTGTGTGTAGGGGTATGCGTGTGTAGCAAGTGTGTCGGGTTGTGTGGTGAGGTGCTCAGCCTTTGCTGCTTTGCCCTGGGGTGGTAGGAGGGTTGCATGGCTTATTTGGGGTTTGTAAATCAACCTTGCCATAAGCACCAGCTGAGGGAGCTGTTTCCTTTTCTCTACTTCCCATCCTAGCCTTCTGGACCAATTCCAGCAGCCTTAGTGCCCTACATCCCCCTCCCTGCTTCGGCTGAACCCCAGGTCAGGGACACCAACTTATGAGCTGAAATGCAAGGACAGCAGGTGGCAGTGTGGTGTAGCAGGAAGGGCTCCAAGAGAGGCTGGAGCAAGTTCCTTCTGCCCCTTGGCTCCAGTTTCCACTGGAAAATCTCCAGCTGTCCTAGGTGCCTTCTCCAGGCCTCCCTAAGTCCCACTCGTTGGCTCTCTGAGCTGGACTTGACTGAGGATGACGGACATCAGACCTGGAGCCCGGGCAGAGATGTCCTGTCTAGTCATCTCACAGGTGGCCTGACTCCAGTTGGCGCTTTCTCCTCTCCAGAGCTGTGGAAGTGAGGTGCGGGAGGGAGCTTGATGTGGGGCACAGACCTTTAAACAGGAGTGCCTCCCCTTCAAGACAGGGTGGGCCAGCTGTCCTGGGTGGGCTGGGCTCGTCTGGGGGACCTGGGAGGATCCCTGTGGGGCCCGGAAGCCACTCACTGTGACCACAGCTCCCTACCAACCCCTGTGCCAAGCACATCCAGCTGGCAGGGAATAAGTGGATTGAGATTTTAATAACCTCGGGGTCAATGTGAGGACTGCCATCTTTTATAGAAGATCTTCAGAAAAAAAAAGAAAAAAAAACCAGAAACCGTGTGGTGTGGCCTAATGAAATAATGGGATATTCACATCTTGCACTTTGCTAAATTTAGGGTTGACAGGACTTTCCGGAGAGGTAGCACTCGGCAGTAGCTTGTACGCGGCGTAAGATGTTAACTGTCAAGCCCAGAAATCAAGCCCAAGGCACCTGACTCGTTGGAGAAAGACTGTAGACCACACTGCAGATCTCCGTCTGAGGGCCGGGTGAAGGGTAGGCGGACAGCGCTGTCAAGGAGACTTTAAGCTTCAGCAGAACACGGCAAGCGAGAGCTGTTCCGGGAAAGCTGCGTTTGTGTTGAACTGGCTGGTCAGAGCCTGCGGGTTGGAAACGTGAGTGGAGAACCTGCAGGAAAGAAAAAGGACAGAGCAAAACCAAGGCACGGAGCAGACCAGCTGATCCCGGAGAGGCAGGGCTGGCCCGGAAACGTGCTGGGGGCAGGGTTTTCAGGCTTCACCTTTCACCCCTGACCTGCATTCAGCATTCGGGGGGGGGGGGGGGGGGGCACTCACTGGCAAGGTTGGTGGCCTCCAAGGCAGCTTCCAGAGGGGTCTGTCATTTGTTTTAGCCACCAGCTGAGTTTCCCAGCCTCTGTCCGTCCAGATGGGGGAGCACAGCCCATCTCTGAAGAGGAGACCCCCTAGCGTTATGCAGAAGCTTCTATGCTGGGAGGACCATGGAGCCTCCTCCATAGCCACAGCCCCTCTGAGCCCCTGTGAACTAGCATTTATGAGTGTTCAGCATTAATTAAGGGACAGAGAGGTTGACAGCCTCATGCGAGGGTCTGAGCAGCTTTCCCAAGTTTACCCACAAAGGGCAGAGCTGGGCAAATACCCTTGAGGCCAGCTTCTGGGCAGAGTTTCCAGGGACTGGTGGGGTTACAGAAGGACCAGGGCTCCATCCAGCAGCCAGGTCCTCCCAAAGTGAGAGCCACGTCTGGGGTCCAAGTGTGGCCTTCTGGGGAGATTTCATTCATTGTCCCTTTGAAACAGTCTCTCACAGTGCCCCTTTCAACCTCCTTTAGGCATTAAAATAGTTTCCTTTAAAAAAAAAAAACCCTCACTTTTTAAATGGAAGGCTTTAAACATATATATAAAAAGTAGAGAGAATCGAATAATGCATCTGTGGGGGCACATCCCCGGTATAATGAACCCATAGGTGCTCGTGGCCACCCTTGTTGCGTCTAGAACCCACCTGCAAGACCCCTCCCAAAGGGAGTATTTTGAAATAAATCCCAGATGTCAACATGTATCCTCTTGACTGCCTGCTTAATTCCCAAGTAGGTTATGGTGGGGCTGGAAGGGAGCACGAGAGAGGCGCCTCCTGCAGTTGTCCCCCTGTCGGGACCCCACTGGGGGCTCCTTGGGACATCAGTCCTCGGCTCTCTGCGCACAAACACTCAGGGACCCAAGAGCCTTCTGGTTTTTGGAAATGGTACTGTTTACTCACTCACTCATCCGTTCAAAGAGTGTTTATTCAGTGCCTTGCAATGCCAGGTGCTAGGGTACAATGAGCCTGACTTTACGGGGGTCCCTGCTTTTGGGGGGGGTGAGGGTGGGCATACAGGCATTAAATGAAAATGGCACCAATAGTTCCTGACCGACAGCTGTGGGGCGGCCTTCCGAGAAGAGGTGCTCATGGGAAGCTCTGGGTTTTCCTGACCCCGGAGAAGAGGGGCTTGGGTTGGTTTTGGCTCAAAGTTGAAATCAGTGTGAACTTTCACCTTCTTCCTAGTCTTCCGGAAATGTGACCTCCCCCTTCTCCGCAGCCCTCACACTTCCTCCGTCCCTTGTGCCTTCCTGCCGGGATGGTGCTGACTCGTGTCCTTGACTGTCTCGACTCCGGGGCCCTGAGCTCCCTTGAGGAATTGGGTCTAATTCATGGGGTGTCGAGTGGGGCCACTCCTCTCTCTCTTCTGCATGTAAGTATGCATGTGTGTAGCATGTATATACGTGCATGTGTGCATGGTGTGTGTATATTTATGTCCCTGTATATTTAAATTAGACCATATTATACAAGCTGTTTGTTTACTTGCTTTTTCCGCACTTGATATTCTGTCAAAGGCCTCTTTCCAAGTTAATATAAATGATTTTTTAAAGGTTGTGTAATATCCCATTGCGTAGATGTACCATCCTTTATTATCCTGTCCCCTGCGGGTGGACGTTTCAGATTGTTTCCGATTGTCACTATTATAAACAACACTGAAGTAGACACCTTTGTGCGCACATCTTTTCCCATCTGTGCTGTTGTATCTTAGCTGTAAAGTCTTACATATAAGATTGCTGGGTCAAAAGGCATGTACATTTTAAGCTTTGATGCAAATTGGGAAATTCCCTCTAGAAATCTTTGCAACCCTCCCTCCCCACCCCAAATGTCTCTTTGTGTTTCCGTCCGATCTTCCATTCTTCCCTTGAGTCAGACTTCTCCCCAGTGAGGTGACCTAAGCCACAACCTTTTTGGGCCTTGGTTTCTCAACTTTGAAATGGAGGAGGTCAAGGGGATGACCTTCCAGGCTCTTCCCTCTGAATTCCAAGGCTCCAAGCCTCACAAGCAGCCCACTCTTACCCCAAGAAGGCTGCGGTTCAGCTGCTCAGATCTCCCTGGAGCACAGCTTGGTTGCCAAGCAGGACCTGAGGATTGGAGAAACCAATCAGAAACTGTTGGCCCAATCCAGTCCCCACTCCCAAACAACTGAGACCTTAATGGGCCCTGGATGCCACTGGTCAGCATGCAAATTACCCAGTGGACCTCCTCTTCCAAGGGCAAGCCCGTGTCAAACCTGCAGCACCCTCCCAAAGTCAGATTTAAGCTTAGATGTTGGATTTCATGTTTGCAATTTAAATGTCACATATTCTTACCAGTGGCTTCATTGTAGCCATCTGATGGAAATTTGTATAAACTTTTAGAAGGAACTAAAAGTAGACCCACACGTCTCTCAGAAGACCTCTAATGGATCTGGCATCTCCCATGAGTCATCTCTAGGCCCCACAGCAGCCACTGAGGCTGGTGTTACAGAGGAGGACACTGAGGTTCAGGGAGGTCCCAGAGCTGCCAAGCAGAGGCCACTGGACCACAGGTCTCTCAGCTCATGCTTGCCCTAAGAAAGAAATCCAGAAAAGCTAAGAGCTGAGTTTTCTGGGTTTTATTCTAAGGAACGCTTGTAAAAGCAGCTGTATTACAAATCATCCCCCTCCCCCTGCCGCTTAGAGCTCAGCCCACCCACTTTCTCAGTTTACAGATAAAGAGACTGAAGTTCAGAGTCTCAAAGGTGCTGGGGCAGGGCTGGGACTAGGAGAGGGATGTGAAAGCGCTTCCTCTCTCTGATAGGGCACTGCTGGGGGCCTGTGGCTGCTCTCAGGCGCTCAGGATTCCCAAGGCCTTGAAGGGCACTGTGCTTGTGGGGTCAGCGAGAGGTGGTTTCGTTTGAGAAATTTAAAGAGCTGGGGCTATTAGCAACTGACTTTTATTGTGGGGTCTTGAGCCAGAGCTCTTTGCGGACTTTATAGGAGGATCCATTTCTGACCTTAGGGGCCCACAGCAGCCTCTTTGAAAACTGTGGTGTGGAATAGCCACATCCTTGGGGCCCGGGACCCCAAATGGGGACTCCGCTGGCTGATCCCACAAGACGTGCTTTCCATGTGCAAATGTGGCAAAGGGCGTGTTCCTGGGCTTTGTAGCTCAGGATCCTAAGAACAGGCCCCATGTGTCCATTCCATAAATATGCACTGAGGGCTGTTACATGATCGTTCCCAACACGGCCTGGGTGTGGCCCAGGTCCCCTTCCTTCCTGAAGACCTGGCAGGGCCTCTCCCACCCTCACTTCCCACAGACTGCTCTGCTCCAGCTACACTGCCCTTTCTCCAGTCCTTGAATGTGCCAGGATCATTCCAGCCTCGGGGCCTTTGCCCCTGCCATCCTCTCTGCGTAGAACATCCTCCCCAGGTCTTTGCGTGGTTGGACTTGCCGTTCAGATCTCATCCAAATGTCACCTCCTCAGAGGCCATCCTGGACGCAGTCAAACCAGCAGCCTCCCACCACTGGTTTATTTATTTGTTCATAGATGACTCTCTGAAATGGTAATTTATTTATCCGTATATTGTCTCCCTCCTCCACTAGAATATAAACTTCAGGAGGGCGGGGCCCTTGGCTCCTTGCCGTGTAACGCAGTGCCTGGCACAGCACGGATGCTCCGTAAGTATCCACTGGATGAACCACTGGGGAAGGCTCATTTCAGTGTTAGTTTCTTACTTAGGTGAAAACATCCGTGAATATTCTGGGGTAGACCTGGATTGGAAAGCTCCATGGCAGATTCGTAACCCACATTGTTTTAAATCTATATTTATTTATCCTGACAGAAAACATGGGGTTTCTGGATCAGAGAACAGACCTATTATTTATTCACACAGTAATCTTAGCGCTGGCTCCGCACACCCCAGATCTGCACAGGGAGCTGTGGTGAGAGCCTGTGCGCCCTGCACACACAGGGATCGGTAGCGCGGGAGAGGAGCCCTGAAATTATGGCTTCTGGAGCTTAGAGAGGGCACTGGCACAGCTGCCCTTCCCCCTCCTGGCCTTTGCCCTGAATGTAAACAACCCCTGGAGAGAGGAGGGGAGGGCACTGGCATGTAAACGAAGGAGTCGGGACAGAGGTCCCTCACTCTTCCCAGAGGTCTCTATCTTTAACTGCAAGTCTTGTTTAAAATCAGTCATCCTTTATTTCAGGGGCCAGCACACCCTGATCATGAGGGAAGCATGAAAATGTTGAAAACATTGTTTCCCAACGTCCATCTCCTGAATCGAAAGATAGCAGCCACCATCTCTGAGTGTCTCCACCTTCCTGGAACTGTATCTGCAGTGTGAACTCTGTGGGGACAGACCCTAATGTCCTCTTTTGGCAGATGAGGAAGCTGAAACTTGGAGAGGTTGAGTGACCAACTGGAGGTCGTTCGGCACCAAAGGGCAGGGCTGAGACAAGACCTTAGACTTGTGGGCGCCTCAAGCCCATGTGCCCTCCCCTCTATCACCTGGGATCCCCAAAGTCTGGTCAAGTTGGTTTTAACAAGTTTGGTTAGCTGCCGTGAACCTTCGGAAAGGGAAGGCTCCTGTCTATTTATTCCACACCTACTATGTGCTGGGCACTGTGTTAATTATGGAAAAATGAGGTGGGCACAGTCCTGTGTTCTCATGGAACCCACTGTCTTTCCGGAGAGGCAGACATTACACAGAGAATTAGCCGGAGAGTGGCCAGGCGCAGGGGAAGCACAGATGCTAACCCAGGCTGGGGGCCGTCCTCAGAGGGGACATCCTGCCGGGCCCAATGGCTGGGTTCAAAAGCTTGTCCCAGGCAAGGCGTCGGGGAAGGATGTTATGAATGGCGGGACTGGTGTGTTCAAAGGGAGGTGAAAGGCTGGGGGAGAGACGCCTGGGAGGGAGGCAGGACCTTGCAAGGTCCAGCTGGCCCTGGAGGAGGGGACTGCTCTTATCCTCAGAGCACTGGGGAGCCACTGCAGGCTTAAGCAGGGGAAGAGACGGGATTAGCTGTATCAACTTCTCACTCGTGTTAGATAGGCAAACGTCCTCATTCGAGCGAAATTCCTTTTCTGCTCTTTCCTAGGGACTGGGGAAGAAAGGCTGAAAGATGTGAGAAAGAATAAATTCAGGGAAATGCAAATTACTTAGAATAGGGTTTATGGTTCTTTGGTGACAAGAGAGTAACCCAGCATGTCATGGCCATGGAGGAGAGCAGCTATTGGTGACTTTTCCGAAGCCCCTCGCCCCATGTTCACCTGGCTGTCAACCGTTCGGAAGGTTTCAGACATGTGCATCAGGGCCACTTGCCCGACCCATGGCTGGCTGGTAGGAGGGGAACTGGGCATCTCCAGAGAAGGTGCCAAAAGCTGTCATTGCAGCTCTAGGAAGCCAGCTTGTCGTGGGGCCCACATTCATAGCAAACAATGGTAATATTTACCAAGTATTTCTGGAAAAATGAGTGCAAAGTGCAGGAAATGCAGTGCAAATTGCTAGAACGCAGTACATTAGCAACATAGGACATTTAATGAGTCTGAGAAGAGAGGTATAAATTTCAGGAAAATGTCAATTGTGGTAATGTAAACAAGAGGCTTCTCAATATCTCATTCTCCCTAAGACTCTATTTCATCTCTGGTTATAGCTAGAGCTGTGGTTCTTGAGAGAGATTTGATTCTAAACATCAAGGAGGGAGGAACTGGGGGAAGGAGAGAAACAGAGGTTGCTTGTGCATCACAAATTAGCAGAGAGCAGTGGGGGTACCAGTGCGATCCCACTGAGGAAAACTGAATCTTCAGCTGGGGCCTGGTGTGCTTCCAGGAAGAGTCTTGCTGCAAAAACTGGATCCTGGGAGGAGACACTGCCCACAGATCACTGGAGGGCTGGGAACGACCTGGGCTGCCGGTGGGCGTGGTATCTTGTCAAGGTGAAGGAAAGCTCAAGGTCAAGGTCACCCAATGCTTTTCCCTTCTCAGGCAGCCTTGTTCTTCCCATTGCTGGGACCTCGGAGGGACCTGGGAAATGGGCACCCACAGCCTTGTCCATCTAAACCCAACTCTTCACCAGTTCGATCCATGGTCAAGTAAAGTTGGGAGCCCTCGGGCGACAGATCCTCCCTCACATTCCTGTTGGGTCAAGAGAGTGCCTGGGATGGCAGAGTGATGGCTTGTCCTCCTTTCTCTGCAGTCCCCGACAGCCTCATCATGAAGGTGCTAAGTGAGCGCCTGAACCAGCAGGACTGCATTCAGAAAGGGTGGGTGCTGCACGGCTTCCCGAGAGATCTGGACCAGGCGCTCATGATGGACAGCCTGGGCTACAAGCCCAACAGGTGAGCTGTCCCCTTCCGGCAGGGCTGCAGCCCTGGCCATGCCACCTCCTGGGAAGGTCCCTGCCACTGGGCACCCTCCCTCCAGGGCCTCAGCTGATGAGATCCGTCTGACAGCTTGCAGTTGACAAGAGACGTCACATGTTCATGAAGTGGAATGTCTCTTAGTCATCCCCGTTCCCACCCACCCACCCCATGTACCCTGTGAACTGGGATTCAGGCTTGGGTTCAAATCCTGGCTCTGTCACTCCCCTTGCTGCACCTAAACTTCCTCACCTGTGAATGATAATGCACACCAGCCAATGTTCCCTTCCTCCTGGGATTCTTGTGCAAGTCAACTGATGTTTTCTTCTACTGTTTTTTTTTTTGCTATATAAACTTGGAGACTTTTAAGATATACATGAAAAGATTTATTTTATCTTATTTTATTGAGGTCATAATAATTTATAACTGTGAAATTTCAGTTGTACATTATTGTTTGTCAGTCACCATATAAATGTGCCCCTGTACCCCTTATCCCTACCCCAACCCTTCCCCCTGGTAACCACTAATCTGTTCTCTTTATCCATATGTTTGTTTATTTTCCATATATGAGTGAAATCATGTGGTGTTTGTCTTTCTCTGTCTGGCTTATTTCACTTAACATAATACCCTCAAGGTCCATCCATGTTGTTGCAAGTGGGATGATTTTGTCTTTTTTTATGGCTGAGTCGTATCCCATTGTGTGTATATGTGTTTGTGTATGTATATATATATATATATATATATATATATATATACACCACATCTTCTTTATCCAATTATTGGTCGATGGGCACTTGGGTTGCTTCCACATCTTGACTGTTGTGAATGATGCTGCAGTGAACACAGGGGTGCATAAATCTCTTTGAATTGTTGATTTTAAGTTCTTTGGATAGATATCCAGTAGTGGGATAGCTGCATCATACGGTATTTCTACTTTTTGAGGAATCTCCATACTGTTTTCCATAATGGCTGCACCAGTTTGTATTCTCACCAGCAGTGTATGAGGGTTCCCTTTTCTCCACATCCTCTCCAACATTTGTTATTTTTTGTCCTGGTGATTATAGCCATTCTAGCAGGTGTAACGTGATATCTTAGTGTAGTTTTGATTTGCATTTCCCTGATGATTAGTGATGTTGAACATCTTTTCATGTGCCTGTTGGCCATCTGCATATCTTCTTTGGAAAAGTGTCTGTTCATTTCCTCTGCCCATTTTTTGATTGTATTGTTTGTTTTTTTGTTGTTGAGTTATGTGAGTTCTTTGTCTATTTTGGAAATTAACCCCTTGTTGGCTGTATGATTTGCAAATATTTTCTCCCAGTTGGTGGGTTGCGTTTTCATTTCGTTCCTGGTTTCCTTTGCCGTGCAGGAGCTCTTTAGTCTGATGAAGTCCCACTTGTTTGTTTTTTCTTATGTTTCCCTTGTCCTAGTAGACATGCTATTCAAAAGGATCCTTCTAAGACTGATGTCAAAGAGTGTACTGCCTATATTTTCTTCTAGGAGCTTTATGGTTTCAGGTCTTACCTTCAAGTCTATAATCCATTTTGAGTTAATTTTTGTGTATGATGAAAGATAATGGCCTACTTTCATTCTTTTACTGTCCAGTTTTTCCAACACTATTTATTGAAGAGACTTTCCTTTCTTCTACTATTTTTACATTTAAATCTTTGGTGCATCAGATATTTATTTTAATGTGGGTATGCAGTATGAATCAAACTCTTTTTTTCCCCAGATGGTTAGCCATTTGTTCCAAAACAATTGATGGGTATTGAGTATCATTGAATATTCTGTCCTTCCTCTGCTAACTTGAACTTGAGAGCACACCACAATTGTAGATGTTGTGGAAATAAATGAAGAGCACCCAAATGAAGACAAGCAAAGGCTATTTAGTCGGAGCTCGCTCTGGCAAGGGAGGCAGCCACATCACCTGCGTTTTGGCAGATACTCAAAGGCAGGCAGAGGAGCAGAAAGCATTCTAGCAGGAAAAGGGAAGACTGGAGCCCGTAGACTTTGTCTTCACTGTAGGACGATCTGTTTGTGCCATTTGAGCAGAACCCTCCCACCAAGTGGCAACATCTTTAGGTCCTTTCGTCTGTGATGCTCAGATTCCCTGGAGAGGACTCTAATAATCTAATCTCCTGCTGGAGGGTAAAGGGTCTAGGGTCCTGGGGAGAAGCAGGACAGTGGGAAATGGGAGGAATTGAGAGGAGGTCTCACATACTGCCTGCCGTATGCATATTTTTCACCTAATTCCCCTATTTTTCGTACAGCCTCAGACTTTCAACTGTTCTTGGCATTCTTCATTCCAAAGAGCCTGTATTCTATCCTCTCTAGAGAATAAAACTTCCATTTCTACCCAAGTGGAGGAGGGGCATTTGCTCAGCTAGATGGAGTGAGGAGGGGATCTGGGGCTTAATTTCTTCTTAAACAAGTTTCACCCAATCCTCCTTATTTTAGCCACAGGTCCCAAGGCGGTACGTGTGCATGCACCTTCAGAGGATTTTCTGGTGAAGATTGGGTTTGTTCTCAGCTCTTCCTCCTGCTGAATTGGCTGAGGTCTCCGCAGCTTGCCACTGGTCCACCTGCTTTCCAGCATCAAAAATTTTCAGTTGCCTTCCTCTTCCTCTCTTCTCTCTGTCCTTGTCAGTTAGGTTTCAAAATCCCTTTCCTGTCATCTTTCTGTGGGGCTTTGGGAGGAAACACAATTTGGTGCATGTTTTCATATGCCGTTTTTGCTGACTTCAGTCCCAATGGCTTCATTGCATTGGCTCATCTCTTACTCTCACTTTCACCTGCTTTACTACCCTTATTTTATGTCGTCATGTGGACAGAATGAAATGGGGTTTAATATTTTTTATTCAACCTGCATTTCTTTTTCCTTGAATAGTTGAGTTTATCCCACTTATTTTTGCTTTTATCACTTTATTTGATGCTTCATTGTGGGGTTTTTTTTGTTTTGTTTTCCATCCTTTTTTATGGTCCACCTTTTCTTTGGGTTTTGTTATGCTATTAGTTTCTCTCCTCTCCCCCCAATAACTTAGAAGATAGTCTGTTTCTAGTTCTGCAGTCTCTTCAACGTGAATTGACTGTACTTGTATTTCTCAGTTTGTCAATTCTGAAATGGAACAGAATATCTTGACTCTGTCTTATGAAAGATGAAAGGAAAAGTGCTCCCATATGTACTGCTTCCTCACCCCCTTCCATCCACTCTCCATTTGGGGGGTGGGGAGGCAGGAACAGATACATTCTGAAATTTCTTTGTCCCAGTCTATTATACACAGATTACTATGTTTAAGACCACTAAGCTTTCCTTTCTAGAAATACAACAATTATACTGTTTTTAGCTCTAGTTACTATACTTGTGAAGTTTTATTTTTAGTTCTCTCTTCAACTGGATTCGGATTTCAATAGCAGCTGTTTACATAATTCAACCTCTCCATTTATCAATTTTGATTCATCTTTCGTTTGAGTGGATTATATCTTTGAGTAATTTTCAGCAAGTGTACATTCATGGTAAACTTCCTCAATTCTTGCATGTTTGAGAATGTCTTTCTGTTCTCTTTATTTGTAAACAATATCTAGCAAAGTAAAGAAGCCCTCACTCGCATTTCTTCCCCCTGAGCATCTTCTCTCATTTCTATACTGTCCTCTGACACCTCTGGGGTTTCAGTGGTATCTGAGCCCAGTGACATTTGTTTTCCGTTATAGGTGATGTCCCGCTTCTGTCTGGATGATCATGGAATTTCTCTCTTTCTCTCTCTCCCTCTCTCGAAGTTCATTTACATTCACCAGTCCCCATCTCGGTCTTGGTTCTCTGTATTACTTTTCTCTGGGACATTATGAATCCTTTCCATTTATATTATTTCAGAAGAATTTTCTTCTAGAACATATGTGAATATTTTTCTGGTTCATTTGCTTGGTGATCTTATTTGGACAGACTAGTTACGTGTATGTCGAATATTTATCATCTGTTTTCTATAGTTATGATTTTTTTTCTCATGGCTTTTATCTTTTCCTTTTCTTTTCTGTATTGTTTTCTCAAATCTGTCCTTCATGATAACTTTGCTTTCCGTCGTTTTTATTTCGTGTTGCTTCTGATTTATTTTTTCTTTCTATAATGCTTCTACATTTCCGTTAGCTTTTTTCCCTTAGGTTTGTCAGCTTTCTTTCATCTCCTGTTTTTATTTTATCTCAACATCTTTTCTTTCATTTCTTATATCATAGAGTCTGTTCTCTCTAAATTATTTTGAGCATCCTGGGAAGGCTTTATCTAAAATGTTCTTATGTTTCCTGGTGTAATTCTTCTTCCAAAGGGTATTCATTGGCTCTCTCTCTCTCTCTCTCTCTCTCTGTCTTTTGTTTTTTTACTTTTTGGAACTTTTTTTGTAAGTCTATACCTGGACCCCAAGCTGGATATATTTTGCAAATCATTTGTCTTTGACTAGGCCTGTTACTTTGTCTAAGGAGAGCGTGAGTTGGTATATTAGTTTTCTATGGGTGATGTAATAGGTTACCACAAATGTGATGGCTTAAACAGTGCAAACTGATTATCTTACAATTCTGTAGGGCTAAGATCACTTTGTTGGCTGGGCTGCATTCCTTTCTGGAGGCTCTAGGGAGAATCCCTTTTTTTTTTTTTTTTTTTTTTTTGCCTTTTCTGGCTTCTGGAGGTTACCCACAGTCCTTGGCTCATGGCCCCTTCTTCCATCTTGGAAGCCAAGCAGTGTTGCAACGTGCTGGCCTTTCTTCTGTAGTCACATCTCTCTCTGACCAGAGTGGGAACACTTCTCAGATTTTAAGGACCCGTGTGATTATATTGGGCCCCCTCAGATGATCTAACCGCATCAAGGTCCTCAGGTAATCTCTGCAAAGCCCCTTTTGCCGTGTAAAGTAACGTATTCACAGGTTCTGGGGGTTGGGAGGTAGATGTCTCGGTGGGGGCATTATTCTGCCCTCCGTGGTGGGGTTCTCCTCGCCTGTCT